TTTTTTCTCTCGGCAACTCCATTTTGAGAAGGTGTATCAATACAAGAAGATTGATAGAGAATGCTATTCTGAATCATATAGGATTGAAATTTATCAGAAAAATATTCTTTGGTATTATTACTTCACAATGTATGCACAGAAATATTAAATTGTGTTTTTATTTCAGCACAAAAGGCACAAAAAATAGAGAATAACTCGAAACGATTTTTCATTAAGTATAGTCAAGTGACACGAGAATAGTCATTAACAAAAGTAATAAAGTATTTAAAACCAGATTTAGACACAATAGGATAAGGATCGCAAACATCAGAATGGACCAACTCAAAAGTGGACATAGACCGTTTATTGACTCTAAACACTGAAGGGAGACGATGATGTTTGGCAAACTGGCATGACTCACAATCCAACAAAGATACATTTTGAAATTGAGGACAATTTTTTTAAGGAAGACAGAGAAGGATGTCCCAACCGACAATGCACCGCAAAAAGGGTCAATACACTTGAACAAGCAATGGATCTCAGCACCTGTGTGTCAAGGTAATAGAGACCTCTAGACTCATGACCTCTACCAATAATCCGCTTCATTGTAAGATCCTGAAATAGACAAAATTAGGTAAGAATAAGATACAACAATTCAAGGCACGAGTGAGTTTACTAACAAAGATTCGATTAAAAGAAAACTTAGATAGATTTAAGACATTGGACAATGAAATGTTGGAGTTGGATTAATAGTTCCAAAACCAAGAACACAAGAGGTTGATCCATCATCTAAAGTAACACTAGAGGAGGTTGTATGTGATTGGAAAGTGAAAAATAGATTCGAATTACCTGTCATATGATTTGAGGCACCAGAATCAATGACCCATTTGGATGATGAGGAAATAAGAAATGTAGTGGAGTTACCTGACTCAGCAATAGCCGTGATAGGAGAAGTAGTAGATTTTAATGATTCCTAGTACTGAGAGAATTGAGCAAATTCATCTGTAAAAACTAAAATAGTCTTATCAGAAGATGAAGTATTAGAAGTTGCAACATTTGGTGATTGATCTTGCTGAGACTTATTTTGGAGTTTCTTACAAAAATGCTTTGTATGGCCCGGCTCATGACAATAATACCACACAATTCCTACTGACTCTTGACTACGACTATCAACATCTCGGTTACGATTGCTTGTTCTTCCTCCTCTGTTACCATTTTTATTATTATGACGACTTACAAGAGCACTGTTATTAGTCTGAGCCAACGTGAAGCTAGAGCTTTTTGTACGCAGTACTCTCGTAAAGGTGTCATGTAGAGAGGAGATCTCGGAACCAGAAAGAATCTGAGATTTGATAGTCTCAAGCGCTGGAAGGAGACTTACAAGAAAACTCATAATCGCCATTTGCTTCTGTTGGGCCTGCTGAACCTTCACATCAGGACTAAAAGGCAACAGAACATTAAGCTCTTCATAAATTCTTTTAAATTCCATAAAATAGGCTATGAAAGACCTATCTTATTTCTCTGCACGATAAAATGCTTTACATACCTCATAAATACGAGAAATATTCCCTTTACCTGAATATAAAAAATTCAAATAATTCATCAACTCTTTGACAAACTCACAATGATTAATGAGGCTAATAATCTCACCATTAATGAAATTTCGAATATGCAGGAACAACCGTGCATCTTCCTTCATCTAGGTTTGCCTTATATTATCAGTAGGAGGATCATTAGTAATACGATCATCCTTATCAATGCTTCTTAAATAGACCTAAACTGTTTTGCTCCAATCCAAATAATTGAAACCATTAAGTTTATGCTCGGTGATCTTTGTCATCACAGGAATCACATCAACCACTACCATTGATTTTTTTTCTAGTACAGACTCTACCATCTTAAAAATTCAGTAACAAAACCCAACAAGAATACCAAACTATCTTGTTAAAACCTTCTGGCGTAAAGACAAGAAGAGAAGATCGGAGTAAATCTCTAATAGATGGCTAGAACCAGAAACCAAAAGTGGCGTGTGATAGCCACTCGTGGGGACTCTTGTGGGAAGGTTCTTGGAGGAAGCCGATCGGCAGGTGAGGCTCCTCCTAGTGCCGGCTGTGGGATCAGATTGTTACACTGTGGGTGACCTAGGTTTGGGTGTAAAAGAAGAACTAAGAACTCTATTTCAAAGGAAATAGATCTGCCAAAACTGTTTTGATACCATGTTATTTAGGAAGAAAATACTTCACACCTTTTATTCATAATAAATCACCTATATATACAGCCTACACATTTCTAAAATAGAAAAAGAATAAAGAAAATAAAGAAAATAAAATCCCTACAATTATGATAATTACCAATCTCTATAAATAAGAACTCTGTTTCAAAGGAAACAGATCTGCCAAAACTGCTCTGATACCATGTTAGTTAGGAAGAGAAAACTCCACACCTTTCATTCATAATAAATCACCTATATATATAGCCTACACATCTCTAAAATAGAAAAAGAATAAAGAAAATAAAGAAAATAAAAATCCCTACAATTATGATGATTCCTAATTTCTATAATTATGGTGACTCCCAATCCCTATAATTATGATAATTTATAATTCCTATAATTACGTTTATTAATAAAAAAATATTTACACATTCCTATTCTATAACAAGAATTAATAAATTAATTTATGAAAATATTTTAAAAGAATTTTCTTTTGTTTTATTGATGAAGGAAAATATGAAATAAATCTAATATAGAAACTGTTGTATCTACATATAAAATAAACGTATTCATGTATTCTTTTCTTACTTTTGGATCCTTTTTACTAGACTCCACAAGTCCAAAACTTTGAGCAAAAGGTGACTCAAACACTTGGATGCATACTAGTATTGGACATTCTTTTACAAGACCATTTTACTTAGGGTATAAGTACTTGACTTAGCAGCCACCGTTTTAACTTGTGTTTTACATTGGAATATTCGTATGAGTAAGGGATTTGTTAGCAGCAGTGCCGGGGGTAATTTTGAGGTTTTACTGAACTTTTTTTATTTTGAATTATGGTTTGAGCTATATATGGATGGAAAGCCTATTTCATAGTTTCTAACACATCAAATGAATCATGATTTCAAGTTTTATAGTCTAAGATATAGTCATTTTAGTGAGTAGTGTGCAAGTCGTCAAATTTATCATTTGGAAGACTTTGTGCTATTTGGGTGGCTTTATATATATATATATATATATATGTTTCTTTAAATGAGTTGAATATTTTATTCCTGTACCTTTTATATATGAAATAGGATCAAGCATATGATATTTTTTATTTTATTTATTTATTATGATGGATTTTGGTTTATGAATGAGGTGAAATTCTTGTTTTGCTTTTAAAGAATATTTTAAAACAGCTACTAAATGACTTTGGAGAAGTGGGATAATCAACAGTAGAATTAGATCGATGGTTCTGTTAATGGTTTATAGTAGTTGGCATATGATCTGCTAACAAATTATAATAGTTAGCACATGGTCCTGTAAACGTGTTATAGTAGTTATAATCCTACTAACAAGTATAGTAGTAATGATGATGAGAATGATATTGTGATATGGTTTTTGTCAAGCATGATAATAGTAACCATAGCTAAGATGACATTTTATGAATTCTAAATATTGAATCTATAATTTTGCTTGATACGATATTTGAAAAATAATATGTGTTGCCAACGATCATATTATATATATACACACTTGTTGAGGAGCTATACTTGTTGAGCTATGATTGCTCAATCGCTCCTTGATATTTTACAGATTACTAGTGAGATAGCTTAGAGATCAAACTTGGGAGCTTACTTTAGTATTAAGGCATTATTGGTTATTTAAGATCTTATGAATTGTAAATGATACTTAAGTTTCTATCTGGTTTGGTTTATTTCTCTTGGTGACTTTTAAATCGATTGTATTGGATTTAAGATATGAATTTGGCATAAGGTAAATTTCACTGAATACCTTATATGAGAATTTTTACATAAATGATAAATAGAAGGCTTCATATTACTTTAGGATAATATAGTTGGTTATCTCAGTTGCGAAGCGTGAAGTAAATTAATACTAGAGCATGTGGCAGCCTGGTTTGGGCTTCTACGTTGTGCTGATGAGATCGTGTTCTTATGGAGGTGGCCTTGATTGTGATTGTGATTGCGATTTGTGGTTTTGATAAGGGCATCAAGAATTTAAGTGGATTGGATCGTGGTATTATATCCCGATTCTCGCATTTGATGACAGTGTGATTGTGAAGACCCTATATAAGGGTCCAAGTCAATCACTGCTAACAATTTCAACTTAAGATTTTGAGGTTCACGTAGTTTAGACTCAAATAGTTGTAGGGTTAGTGGTGCTTGTGCCTGAGTCCTTACATTAGGTCCATGCTATTTCCTTCCAAAGCCCTAATTGTAGCTACAATTAGATTTTTTCCTCAATTTTATGTTCACGTATAAATGTTTGTCTATTTTTATAACTGCACTTAATTGCATGATGAACCCAATATACTCTTACAGAATGCAATGACTTTTCCAATTATGTTCCATGAATGACTTTGGATGTCCAGCCATCTCTTGCTGCCTGCCACTTGCTAGAATTAACCATTATGCTAATATTCTTTTTCAATCATTGACTCATCATTCTGTTATTGACTTGTGATTCACACCTGGTGCTCAAGCATGAATATCATAGTGATGTGGCATTTTCTCCAAAAGTAAATATAAAAACCATTTCTTGAGTTCCAGGTTTCCCTTGCCTTGGTGTATTGCTGCAGAAGTTGGAGAATCCAGCACTACGTGCATGCTTACAAGTACAGTCTAATGAGGTAATTTGCTACAACATACTCAGC